GAGCTGGGTGAAAATGGTGACGGGATTAAGAAATACAAATTGGTAGTTACAAAATACTCAATGGGATGTAAAGCACAGCATAGAGAATGTAGTCAATAACGTTGCAGTGGCAGTCAACTATGTATAGTGCCAGGTGGATCTAGTCAGGGGGATCACTGCATAAATTATATAAACGTCTAACCACTATGCTGCACACCTGAAACTAATATAATACTGACTGTAACTAAATAATTAAAAAAAAAACAAAAAAAAGTGGGCCAAATGCCCATGGTTTCCACTCCTGCTCCACTGTCTTCTCTCTCCTAGCCTGTACCCTTACTTTCAGTTGATAGAGGAAGAGAAGACTTGGACCTCGTTTACAGGTGGTTCTGTAAGATACGCAGCCATCACCTGAAAGTAGACAGCTGCACTGCAGCCCCTCTGGAACAGCTCTGAAGAAGTGGTAAAATGGAAACCCTCCTAATGGGGAGAACTTCAGGCAGTCAGTGCACATGGCTGTCCACTTGGCTTGGAAGGAGAAATGGCCAGACATGCAATTATGTACTGATTCATGTGCTGTGGCTAATGATTGGTTGGATGGTCAGGGATTTGGAAGGAAATCTGGTGACAAACAAATTTGGAGAAGTGGTGTACAGACCTCCCTGAATAGGGGAGAAAAAATTGAAGATATTTGTGTTCCATGTGAGTGCTCACCAAAGGGTGACCTCAGCAGAAGAGGATTTTAGTCACTTAGTGGACAGAAAGACTGGTTCAGTGGATACCCGTCAGTCTCTTTCCCCAGCCACCCCTGGTCTCATGAACAAAGTGGCCATGGTGGCAGGGATGGAGGTTCTACATGGGCTCAGCAACATGGATTTCCACTCACCAATGCCAAGCTGGGTATGGCCACTGCTGAGTGCCCAATCTTCCAGCAACAGAGACCAACACTGAGCACCTGTTATGGCACCATTCCCCAGGGTGATCAGCCAGCTACCTGGTGACAGGTTGATTACATTGGATGGCTATCATCATGGCAGAAGCAGGATTTTGTTCTTACTTGAATAGATACTTACTCTGGTTATTAATGTGCCTTCCCTGTATCCAGTGATTCTGCCAAAACTACCATCTGTGGACTTACAGAATGCCAATGCCTTACCCACCATCATGGTAGTCCACACAGCATTGCTTCTGTCAAGAAACTCACTTCACAGCAAAAAAGTATGGATATGGGCCCATGCTCACGGAATTCACTGGCCTTACCATGTTCTCCAAGTTCCTGAAGCAGCTGCCTTGACAAAACAGTGAAATGGTCTTTTGAAAACTTAGTTCCAGAACCAGCTAGGTGGTGATACCTTGCAGGGTTGGAGCAAGGTTCTCCAGAAAGCTACCTATGCTCTCCATCAGCATCCTGTTGCCTAGTACTGTTTCTCCGATAGCCAGGATTCACGGGTCCAGGAATCAAGGGGTAGGATGGCAGTGGCACCACTCACTAACACCCCTAGTGACCCACTAGCAAAATGTTTGCTTCCTGTTCCAGTGACCTTATTATGCTCTGCTGGCCTAGAGGTCTAAGGTCCAGAGGGAGGAATGCTTCATCAGGAGACCCAATAACGATTCCACTGAGCTGCAAGTTAGATTGCCACCCAGGCATTTTGGTCTCCTTATGCCTTTGAATCAACGGTCATCTCCTGATGACATTTAAAGCCATGGGTATGAATGTAATGTCCTCAGGAGAAAGCACAGAATGGATGAGAAAGCATATCAGTCCCAAGCCCTAAGGAAACAACATGTAGAGACTAGAAGAGTTAAGAACTAATGAAGAACAGGGGAAAGCAGTGGGCCAGAGAGGCAGGAGAAAACAGTAAAGTACAGTGCAATGGAAGTGAAAGGAAGCATATTTCAATTATGAAAAAATGGTCAATGGTGACAAAGAACACTGAAATAAATATATTAATAATGGTTAGGTTTCCAGGCCAGCTACAAAAGCTCATTTAACCCTTAATATAGGTAGATTGTAGCATTAGACTATCTTACCATGAAATAAGTACTACAGTACAGTAATTAGACATGCAGGCTCCAGATTCACAATGCCCAGGTGTAAATCCCAGCTCCACTACTTACTAGCTATGTAGCTATAAGTATATTACTTAATGTCTCTATGACTTGGTTTCCTCATTCATAAAAGGAAGGTAAAAATAATGCCTACCTCAAAGGATTGCTGTGAGGATTAAATAAATTAGTGTGCATGTGTGTTTATCACTTAAAACAGTAGCTAGCACACATAAGTTGCCAGTAAAGAAAAGCACAAATAAATGGAGATTTATATGACCAGTACTTATGCACGAACTTCCCATGTGCCTAGCAAGAACGATTTTAGAAAGTCAGAAATCTCTCTATACACCCTATTTAAGGTAAAATGCTAGGGTTTCCCATTAGCACTTTATTTCTCAATGGTTAAAACAATAGAAATACTTTATATCTGATGGAGCTGCTATATCAAAAAAGTATTATTTCAAACTTATGAAAAATTGTTTACCATGATTTTCCCCATCAATTGATGAAAATGTTCCATTTCAGGACCAAGCAGAAAGTAGGATGTTAGATCCCATGCCAGTAATAACTGAATGTCATTACCATCTGTTAGCTTCTGAATAGGTTACTGGAAACAAGGTGACAGACAAGCTATTCTTTATGGATAAGTATCCATATTACATCATCCCAACTAGTACTCATTTGCACCCTCAAGAAGAAACTGCCACAAAGGGGAACAAAAACATTCAACTGATACATGAATTATGAAAAAGCTCTTTAAAATGTTATAAAAATATGAATAGGCTTCTGAAAATGCAGAATACCGGAAGACTTACTGGGCATATTTCAGATTCAGTGTTTTCTATATCACTGAAATGAAAGAGGGCATTGCACCGTTTGAGGAATAAAGTGAGGTACAATTAAGAAATGTGTGTAACCCTGTACAGATGGCCTGATCCTAACACAAGATGTTAACAAAGCAAGTTGGTGGGGAAGGGGGAAAGCCTGCATTTTCTATGCTATAATTTAGCTGACCCCACCCCCAAAAATATCTTTAAAGGAGGGGGGCTCAGCATTTAAGAATCAGTAAGTTCCAATAAACAGAAAATGAATCGCTTACATTATCTGTTCCAAGTGAATCTACTTACTGTTTTCAAATGTGTTTGGGAAGTCATTCTTTGTTACTTTGATAAATAACATTTGGAAAATACGACAAGTAGATTTTAGTTTCTTGCCTCAGAAGTATTCTGCTAAAAGAAATAACATAAATAACTAGGTAGTATTTGTTGCACTTACCTAATAAAACACTTTTTTTTCATTTAAAACAAAAAATGATGCACAAATACCTATCACTACTGTTCCCTGAAGAGAAAGTAATTTATAAATTATTTTCAATGCAAAAGCTACTTGAAAAATGAGAGCCAAATTACCATCATCATCATCATCATCTTCATCATGGGAAAGGTGCCAAACATCTTTCATAAAACTTAAAATGTATTAATTGTATATAATACAAAGTTATGACTGTTTCAGAAAGGTTTCAGCATTTAAGTGTTTAGCTCCAAACTGGCGCATCACATTATTTTCTTTAAAAGACCTAAAATCCCAGGTCTTTTAAACAAAGGACCTGAAATTCTCCAAGGAGGCTTATTTCCCTTTTCTTGAACCAAATTTTTCTCCTCTCCCAATCATCCCAAGGCACTATATCACACAAAGACCAGCTACTCTTCGCACATATTTTCCAAATCATGAACATGGAACTTTCATATAAACAAAGAAGATAACCTAGAACACTGTAATATGTAAAGTAAAAAAAAAAAAAAAAGTTCACTTCTGTCGTGACAATAACGAAGAAATCTGATGAGATCATAAAGCCACGAAGCTTCCTGTTGGTAGTTGAGGATGAAGTCATTAGCAACCCAGGATTCCCTGGTCCTTGTAATCAGAAACTGCACCTACCAGATTCTGCATTGTTCGGCAGAGGTGGCTTTAAAACACCCCGCTCCCGAATCATCCAAAGCAGACCACGCCTTCCAGTTATCATTCAAATGACCGTTTCACAGTGTGGCACTACTACACAGTTCCCGCGAGCTTAAATATCTAGTAAGAGTCAACATTTTAGATTCCTTGGTCATGCTGGAGCAAAGATGAACTCTTGAACCCCGCGCTACATAATGAACCAGGGCTTCAGAAGCCGAGATGGAGAAGCATGCTTCTGTTCTTCAACGTTCATGGCCTTCACTGACGCCCCCCTCCAATTTCTTCCCAACTTTTAGTCACCCCAAGACACAGAAGGCAAAGAGGGATTCCTTACTTCCTGCTGTTGTTGAAAGGGGAGGAAACTGAAGAGTAACTTTGAACGCGTGGAAGAGAAACAGCTTAATCTTGGCCACCACTGCAAACATATGTCACCCAGCCCGGCGCAGCGTTCGCGCGCCACCAGGACCCCTCCCGAGGCCCCACGCCCCAGGGGTTCTCCCGCAGCCCAGCCTTCCCGGGTCCCCAATGTAAGGGACGCGGCTTGGCGCCTCTTCCTCTCCCGCCTCCCCCACCCTCACACTGCCCGGGCCCCCAAGACCACATTGTTGGTTCCAATACAATGGAATGTCACTACCCCGAACTCGTCGGAGCCCCCCTCGGCCATCCCCGAGGCAGTCTCGGGTCTCCGTGATCGCCGAGTTAAGGCAAGGACCCAAACTTCACCATGTGAGACCCAGGACCCGGGAGGTGACGGAGACCCACGACTCCCGCCCAGACCCACGTCCCGGACCAGTCCCGGGCGCGAATCCTGCACTGGGCGCCCCCACCGACCCCGAGACCACCCCACAGGCGTCATCAGCCGCCTCTCCGGCGGAGGCGAGGACCAGGAGACGCGTGGAGGGTTCCCCGCCCGGCCCGGACCCCTCGACGGTGCTGCACAGGGGCGAAGGCCCCAAATGCATCCCCGGCCTTTCCCAGCCCACCAGGACCCCGCCGCCCACCCTCCCTACCTGGCCTTGAGGCTGGGGCTGCTGCCGCTGTTGCCGCTGCTGGTGGCGGCGGCGACCGCGGCTCGGGGTTCGTAGGCCCAGGCGGGAGCGGGGGGTGGTGCCGCGGCGCTGGCCGGGGCGGCGGGGGGCGCGGGCGGCGGTGGCGGCGGGTCGGCGAAGCCGGAGGTCGCGTAGTTCCTGTCCATCGTGGGGGTTGCGTAGGGAGGG